TGGAGCTCATATTAGTCTACCTCAGGCTAGAGTGTCTGAAAGATTGTTTATTTCCGCAGTCCAACATATATAGCTTTTATCAAATTATAACAGCTTACATCACACAGTTTTTAAATCGTATGTTATTACATGTTTTTTTAAATGTAAGTGCTTATATTCACAGTGGCAAGCATTTGTTATAGTGCAGATACGGGCGGTCAAGTGAGAAGTTTGGGGGGCGTGGTTGGTTTCCCTTCCACGCATGCCCATGCTTTAATTTCAGCAGTGTTTTGCAACAGTTTGTGCCTATCATGAGGCGTTTTGCCTTCAAAGCGTTCAATGGAAAAAGACGCTTTTGCATCGTCCAAACCTTTTACAGTTATTGGTTATAAGAGCTCTCCCAAAACCCATGTCTAGATCTCTCTGAATGAAACGCCTACTTTACTGCATCCAATCAGCTCACAGTAGAAAAAACAAGCCACGCCTACTGTTTTCTCATTTAGTATTCTGTTTCTCTAGGAACTGCAATATAAAAAATGGCTGCAGCTTCCAGCTTGTGTGGACTTTAAGCGGACTTTATTAATGGACTAATCTAGGGAAGTGAAGACTGTGATACAGTCTAGAACTCACATGAATACCTTAATTTTTTTGGATCATTGCCCTGCTTTGACATGAACTATGTTCTTTTACATCAACTTGGTATATTTATAACACAGCATGCATGACTAATTTTAAAGCGATTAATTTATGAAAAGAATGGTCATTCAGAATCTTCGTCATAAACCAGCCTAATCTGTAAGTGGGCCAGCAAAGCCAGCCTAGCGCGTGTCAAAAGTTCAATCTAGACATCGAATTATCACAGCACGAATCAACAATCAATCGAATCAACAGTTGAACGTCAGACGAGCAAACATCTGAGAGGTGACGCGCATGAGACTATACTCACAACTTTAATCTCGAATCAATTCCCACTTTCTCAATTTTCAGCTTCAATCAAAGCTTCACGCTCACTCATGTCAGTCGTCATTTGACTACACGCAGCAGCCGCTCTGGAAATTACTGCTGGGTGGTTTTGTGGTTTATTTAAGGGGATAAAAACAAATCAGTGAAGTGATATAATCCTCCGAAAGATGAGTCAAGAGCCTCTTTTTTCAAACAAAAGATGATTGAAACATTCACAATTCTCTGTGTTCGGGTTGTGTGAATAATTACACAAACAAATTGAATGGTTTGCAATCTTCACGCAAGGCTGCCTGATAATCTGAACCTCAAATCAGGGGTCGGACTAAGAGAGAATGATTTTAGCTAGCTAAACTAAATGTCTAGTTATGTTTGGTGTTATTTTAGACCATGGGTGGCCAACCCTGTTCCTGGAGAGCCACCTTCCTGCAGATTTCAGTTGCATATCAAACACCTTTTTCATATCAAACACATTTTCAGTTACCCATATCAAACACACCTGAACCAATTAATTAGGACCTGAACACCACGTGATAATTACAGGTGTTTGATATGGGTTGCAACTGAAATCTGCAGGAAGGTGGCTCTCCAGGAACAGGGTTGGCCACCCCTGTTATAGACCATTTTAAGGGGTGTAAACAAAAACAATGGTCCCAATGTATTTCCTGTTTTACATTTTTTTATTTCTATAGCTTCCAAGAATCCAAAAAGGGTTTATGCCCTGTTTACATACACTTTATAAAAAGGCACATAACCATTAAAAGAAGTGAGATGGTAATGTGACTAATCTTTTTCTCTTTTAGGTAAGTTAGGATTTTTAAATTTGTTTCTGTTATGCCTAATAGCAGAATAATGACAGAGATATTTTTAAGAAATTGTTAAAACTTTTCTTGAAAGTCAAGTTTACACACGATAAGATTATTATGCCTCTGAAAAAGCTCAGATGATGATGTCAAGGTTTTGGAAGTTTCTGATTGGCTAATTGACAACATTTGAGTTATTTGGAGCCACAACCATAGAAAAGCATTTAAGGAAAACCTCAAACACACTTGAGCTTCATTGTGTGACAACATGGGGAAATTAACAAGCCAGAATCAACAAAAAAAGCCAGATTACAATTAGCTAAATTACACAGGGAAAAAGAGTAATTGTTGGAGACATGTCCTGTGGTCTGATGGAGCCAAGATTGAGGTGTTTGGCCATAATGACCAGTGTTACATTTGGAGGATAAACCGGAAAGCTAACAAGCCTAGGAACACCATCCCAACTGTGAAGTATGGGGGCGGCAGCATCATATTGTGGGGCTGTTTTGCTGCAGGAGCGACTGGTCCACTTCACAGCATAGATGGCATCATGAAGAAAGAACATTATGTAGAAATACTGAAGCTACATCTCAAGACATCAGCCAGGAAATTAAAACTTGGCCACAAATGGGTCTTCCAAACTGACCATGACCCTAAGCATACTGCTAACTTAGTTAAAATGTGCTTTAAGGACAACAGAGTGAATGTTTTGGAGTGGCCATCACAAAGCCCTGATCTCAATCCTATAAAAAAATTGTGGGTAGAGATGAAAAAACTTGTGTGAGCAAGACAGCCAACAAATCTGACTCAGTTACACCAATTCTGTCAGGAGGAATGGGCCAAAATTCCTTCAAACTATTGTGAGAAGCTTGTGGAAGGATACCCAAAACATTTTACCAAAGTTATACAGTTTAAAAGCAAAGTTTAAAAAATACTAAGGGAAATGTATGTAAACTTTTGACTGTCTAGAAATTAATAAAAAATGTAAAAAATAAAATAATAATAATAAATTCTCTCATTATTCTGGCATTTAGCAAATGTAAATGATTTAGATAATCCTGACGGACCTGAAATAGTAAATGTTTAGTATGATTTACCATCAGACAATTTTAAAAAAATTGGTTATTTTCCTTTTTTTAGAGCTTATGTAAACTTCCGGTTTCAACTGTATTGATAAATAATGTTATGATAGTTGTTAACTTAATGTTATGAGCACCTGGAGGAAACCCACATGAACACGGAAAGAACACGCAAACTCCACACAGAAATGCCAACTGACCCAGCCGGGGCTCAAACAAGCGACCTTCATGCTGTGAGGCGAGTGCTCCGGTTTCCCCCACAGTCCAAAGACATGCTGAATTGAATTTAAAAAAGGCCATAGTGTATGTGTGTGAATGAGTGTGTATGGGTGTTTTTACTGGGTTTGCAGCTGGAAGGGCATTCGCTGTGTAAAACATATGCTGGATAATTTGGCGGTTCATTCTGCTGTGGTGACCCCTGATGAATAAAGGGACTAAGACGAAGGAAAATTAAGGAATGAGTAATAATAATAGGCAGGTAAAGTAATAAGCCAATCATTAATAAGAATTGACACTTAAACTAAAGTGTTACCAAAGTCTCCATAATAAAATTATCATGATATTTTGTATTATTAATTGTAAGGACGTCTAGAAGCATGTTTTGGATAATTGTGCTTTTGGCAGTGATTTGTGCAGCAGCACAAGTAAACTTTAGCACTTAAATATCACTTCTTTACATCTTCTATAATAATTAACTTGCAAGGATAAATGTCCAGTTAGGCTGGGGATCAGACAGCCGAGCGCTTTGTTGTCGAGCCACATAGTAATTCAGCTCAGCAGTGTAAAAATACATTACACTATATTATCTATGCATTTGTCTATGTCCTGGTGGTATATTGTTACAGAGTGTGTTCTCTATATTTTCATTCTCAGTATGCACAAATCGTTAATTAATAAAGATATGCAAATGAGTTCCGGGCATGATGTTCTTAGGAACAATAGAACTATTTTTTTCCTTTATGTCAAGACACATCAAAGTTTATGATGAAGATTTTTTTTCTATATATATATATATATATATATATATATATATATATATATATACACAGTTGAAGTCAGAATTATTAGCCCCCTTTGATTTTTGTTCTTTTTTAAATATTTCCCAAATGAAGTTTGACAGAGCAAGGAAATTTTCACAGTATGTTTGATAATATTTTTTTCTTCTGGAGAAAGTCTTATTTGTTTTATTTTGGCTAGAATAAAATCAGTTTTTATTTTTTAATGAACCATTTTAAGGTCAAAATTATTAGCCCCTTTAAAGCCCTTTTTTTTTTTTTGACTGTCTACAGAACGAACCATCGTTATATAATAACTTGCCTAATTACCCTAACCTGCCTAAACTATCCCTATAAAATTAAACTTCTGTTATTCAAAAGAGCCTAAAGAAATAAACAGCAGCCTAATAAATCCTAGCCTAAATAATAACAAAATCATCTGTCCAGTAATTTTTTTACAAACATAGTACAATAGAATACATCTCACAACAATTATGAACAAAATAAAGATACATGAAATAAAATAAAAGAAATAATCTCAGTTATACAAAGTATAAACAGATGCCAGGGGTAAAAAAATAAAAAGGTAAGATAATAATAATAATAATAATAATAATAATAATAATAATAATAAAAGTTCAATAAATGAAATGGACATAATGCTTGAAATGTTTTTCTAGCTTTTCTGTTTTTAATGTTACAGAATGTAGTACCATATTGTTTATAAAATGAACACAATTTGGCTTAGCTTTGGCCTATTTCTTGACATGAATATGGTATTTTCCAAGTATTATTAGTTGTATGAAAAATAGGTTGTACTTTTTAAAATCAATTCCATCTTATACTAAAGCAAATATGACATCATAAAACCCAATTTGTATTAGTGTACCAAATGTCCTTGAAATAAAGTTAGAAACATCAATACAAAATAATCTTGAGTATACACACTGAAAAAAAAAATAGATGAGTAACAGTTTCCACAAAAATTACAAGAGCTCTCTATCAACTTAAAACCGTTCAAATAACTCTTTTACAGGACATATTCTGTGTGATATTTTAAAAGATACCCCTGTCCAGTAAAAACACGACGCTTCTGCTTCAGAAATGGGTCACCTGTGATCATTATAAGGCCGTTCAGCACGTGACCTGAGTTTGATTTGCTACAGGTGTTCTTCTTACCCGGCGCGTCTCCCGTGTGTGTGTGTGTGTGGATTCTGTTTGCTTACAGTTCATTTGTTGTCAAACTGTGTGTGTCATTTGAAAAACAAGGAACTTTCAAATCGCCATGGATTATTAATAATACTGCACCATCATCATGTCCGACACCACCAACGTCTCCATCCCAGCAGTGGACTTCAATATCACGGATCTACACAGGACACTAGAGGCTCACCGCCCCATTAAAATCGGCATCATCTCTGTTTTGGGAGTGATGATAACTTTGGGAAACATTGCAGTGGTGATGGTCATAGCTTCAGCGGTGTCGGGATGGTCCAGAAACTCCCGGTATTTTCTCTTATCGTTAACGGGAGCGGACTCCGCGTTCGCGCTGCTTATAATGCCGCTCAATCTGTGCGTGAGTCTTATAAAGGAGTATAACGCGGGCCCGGACCCCTTCTGTCACATCGTGGCGTTTTTCAACGCAACCATTTACTCCACCTGCATGTACACGCTTGCGACCATAAGCCTGGAAAGATACATAGCAGTGTTTTACCCCCTGAAATACTCAGTCTTGCTGACCAGGAGAAGAGCATTGCTTTTAATCTCATTCTCGTGGGTTTTCCCCCCAGTGCTCCTGTTCCCCATCTCTTTCCCTGCGGGCATCATTGAAGTGCACTTCTCCAGAGCCTCGCTAGTGTGCAACCCGCTGTATTCCAGCAATGTCAGCTATTCTCTCACTCTTACCTGCTTCATCTTCTTCCCCTGCTCGGCCATCATGACTTTCTGTAACCTCAGGCTTTGGGTAGCTGCCAAGAGGCAGAGGTCAAAGTTGAGGAGACACAGCTGGGGTGGTGGATACAGGCCTAAAGTCGCCTTGAGGGTCCTGGTGCCGGTCATGACTGTGTACTACACCTGCTGGACGCCCTGCATGGTCATCATGTTGTACAATGGTGAGAGAGTGATTCATTCATGACATTTTGTGGTGGAAATCAACATGGTGTTTAGGCAGGGGCGGATTTAGTGATTTGGGGACACTTCCATGCCCAAAAGTCCTAAAATGCACCTTTTGTATTTTTTATTTATTTTAATGTTTGTTTGTTCTTTTTCTTATTACTCAATCTCCTTTTCTACATTTTATCTTAATGCAAAATAATAATATGTAAAGCATCTTGTAAAACTTTTGAAATTTTTGTTTTCTTAAAATGAATTCACATTTATAACAATAAATAAACTATTTTGTTTTTAAATTTGTGCAGATGTAACAATTACCTTTAAAAAAAAAAAAAAATAGACTCTCGCCTAATAAAATATGGTAGAAAACTGTTATATATAATTTATAGGTATCATTTATACATCTCTGTAGTTATTTGGGGGCCCTAAGCGGCCGCTTACCTTACTTATTAATTATTAGCCCCCTTTGAATTTTGTTTTTCTTTTTCAAATATTTCCCAAATGATGTTGAACATAGCAAGAAAATTTTCACAGTATGTCTGATAATATTTTTTCTTCTGGTGAAAGTCTTATTTGTTTTATTTTGGCTAGAATAAAAGCAGTTTTAATTTTTTTATGAACCATTTTATAGTCAAAATTATTAGCCACTTTAAGCAATTTTTTTTTAATTTGTGCAGATGTAACTATTACGTTTAAAAAAAAAATGAGACCCTCGCCTAATAAAATACGTTACAAAGCTAGTTATATATAATTTTTAGGTATTATTTATACATCTCTGTAGTTATTTGGGGGCCCCAAGCAGCCGCTTGCTTATTGGTTAAATCCACCCCGATGTTTAGGAGAATATCTATGCTGCCCTAATTTATAAGCACAACATTTGATGATAAAGTTGTGAAACATGAATTTTAAGTGTTTTAGTTGGTAGTTTTTAGATGTTTTCATCCACTCTGGGGTAATTTTGACCACAACTTTCTCTGTGTATTATCTTGTTTGGACACGTTTTGCCTACTTTGAATTTGTTTGTTTTTTTCAAATTCAACAACACACTCTGGGTTATAATTAAGCTACAATTAGTTTTTTTAACTTCATAGAACTTCATATATAAGTCAGAAACTTTTTTTTTTTTTTTTTGCACGGGCCTATCTAAAGGGTTAATGCTGCCAACTGATGATTTTTTAACCCCACAGAGAAAAAAAACTCCAACAATCACGAATTTGTCATGGCTTTTGCAATCAAAAATGTGTTTCTAATGGAAGTCAATGAGGCAAAAACAGCCACGAACGTAACAAAAGTAAATTTGAGCAGTACACAAGGGTTAAATGTCCCATCACAACAGCTCTGAGTAAGTCTCAAATGTGGCTCTGGACCATAAATGTCTTGCGTTGCACAGTGGGTCAAAATTGTTGATTTTTCAATGTGCATTACCAAGCACATCATTTAGACAGCAGTTTTCTGAGTAATACAATTCTTTGAAATCCTCAGATTTTAGATATTCAAATGTTTTTACTCCCTCTTGACCAGTTTTTACTCTCTCTCTCCTAATAAACCATACAACAGCATATTTATTCAGCTTTTATGTGTCGTACAAATCTCATTAAAATTTGTTTATATCCCACCAAGTTAGATCTATGCCACCAAGATCAAACATATCAATAGTGCTTTATAAATATTCATTACTAAATTGAATCCCTATGTCAGAAATGAATTCATATGAACTAACAAATTTGACAACAGAAAAAGTCCCATAAGTATATATCACTATGATGTTAGACGATGCATGAATTCTAACAAAATAGCCATGGATTCCCTGAAATGTAAAACTATGAAATAATATTAATGTGTTGATTTAATTGTGGCTGGCTAAACATTTACGTAGACCTCTTATATTCCAGTTGCAATGAAAATATTCTGATTGTAGTGTTTACATTTGTCACAGGCTGTGTGTGTGTGTGTATGTGTATATATATATATATATATATATATATATATATATATATATATATATATAGTTTCCTCCTGCTTGCACATAGGCTACTATTCTATTATTGCTTTTTTCCCCATTTCATTTACAGAGGTTTATTTTGGAACTAATTTGAAGATGACCATGTAAAACGTGCCATTTCTAAAACCGTGTACAAATTAATAACAGCTTGTTCAATGTTTCAGACACAGTTACGCCACAACTATGTAATTGCACAGTTTCTTGTTTGGTTTTCGCAGTCCAGTTAAAGGTGCAGTAGGTAATTGTCTTCAGAAACATTTTTTGTTGTGCTGGTTGAAAGTCTGGTAGAAAGTAAATGATCTAAATGTAATTTTTGTATTCTGGGTAAGGCATAAGACTAATAAATGATCGTCCAATTAAAATCTGCTGGGTCGATAATTCCCTTAATTCTGTTAGGTAGCCCAAACTGTCTGTCAGCAAATGTAGATTTGTACATCTGCGCACCCCTGTTCACGCAAACAGATCCGCTGTTTGTGCATGCATGTGCACACAAGAGAGTGACAGTGGTAAAAACAAATGTTGAACCAACTTTTTAAAATCCTAAATCAATATTGAAGTTACTTTTGCACGCTGGAGGAATGACGACAGCATGGCTGAAGTATTTCTTTTAGACAAGTAATGTTCTGCTTTAAAACTATTTTAGTCACGCAAAGCTGATGTAGAGTTTGCTGTTTTACGAATGAGTTATATGCACAGAAGTGTTGTTCAGCCACTGAAATCTTCCGGCGAAAGATTGATGTGACTATTTTCAATTTCATAAGGGCCTTTTAAAACATCGATAATGTAGATTTTTATTTAGTTTGACAACAAAACAGAAGTAAATAGTGCTATTCTGCTTGCTTTACTGAGGTGAAGTTGGTATATTTACATTGGTTTATTTTTGAACAATGACAGCCTGTGACACGCTTTCTATATTGTTTACCATGCTAATTTGAATATTTAGTCTGAAATAACATGTAGGTACGGCTTAGTAATGTAATTCCTGCACCCTAAAGCACCATGAGCAGTCTCTCTTTAGGACACAGGTGTCAAACTCAGTTCCAAAAGCAGCTCTGCACAGTTTAGTTCCAACCCTAATTAAACGTACCTGATCAAACTAATTAAGTCCTTCAGGCTTGTTTGAAACCTACAGGTAAGTGTGTTGGAGCAGGGTTGAAACTAAACTGTGCAGGGCTTCGGCCCTCCAGGAATTGAGTTTGACACCCCTGCATTAGGACATGCATGAAACATTGCACATTATGACAAGTTTTGCTTGCTACACACCTGAAAATGTGCTAGATATAATAGTTTTTCGTTCTGTATTGTAGTATGGTAAAGTACTATAGAGTTTTTAACTGGCGAATGACATGATCTAGTGGGTTGTTAACTGTTATCTTTGGACAGCGGGGGAAAGACTGTTTTCAAAGCTAGCTTTAGCATTTTGGCAGATAACCTGCTGCACCTTTAAGTGTGCATGTCCCTCTGATCAAATTTGTAAAGGTCTAACCCAGCCTTTCCCAGTCCGTTCAGAATTAGATTTTAATTCAGGGCTCAGTCAGTTCAGTTAAAAGGTATTCGAAACGTTTCACAAACACAAAGGAAAAACCTTTTACTTTTTAATTACATCATTGTTATGTAAATGTAGAATTAAGATTTCGAAAGCAAACAACTAAGGGTGTTGCTATACATTTACTGTGTGCTGCAAAACAGCATGATGGTAACCTTTATCTTCATGCTGACATCTCAGATCACACTGGCCAGACATTGATTCATCTTTAATGAATCATTAAAATATTGGTGTCCAGGATGCCGAGAGTCTAATGATTGTATTGCACACTCTCTAGGTTTTGAAAGCTCAGATTAAATGTGTGACCAAACAGTGCTCATTATCTGCTGTGCTTCTTATATGGCAGGTCCATCCCTGGCTTAAAAAAGGAAATATAAAATTCAAATGTTAGAAAGAAAAAAAAAAGAGCCAGTGATAAGAGAAGGACAGCGACCTGAGAGAGCGTACTGCAGCTGCTGTTTTCAGCAAACATGAAGAGATAATCACAGCGTTTTCAGGGAGCTCAGATGAATAACAAGACAAGGAGACCGAAGCCCTCCTACATTGCATTTAAATTGGCCACTTTTATGGCACTTGCTTTTCTTTTTTGGAGCTTGACAGTCCTCGATTATGGTCAACTTTTTGTGGAAAAGAGCAGTTTTGAAAAGAGGTGTTTTAGGGTATTGTTTTGAAGCGTACTGTAGGGATGCTCTAATTCACTGTAGTTTCATTTACACTGAATAAGTCTGTTCATTCTGCATGAAGATGGCACTATCACACTTATACAATAAGATCACAGAAAACCCTTTTAGTGCCATTTCAAATGTATTTACAATTTTCAACTTGGAGATTGTCGTAATTCGACTTGTTATCAATTAGAAATGATCAGACAGGAGGTTTTGAATATCAGAAAATAGACTTCATTCTCCATAATAAAGCAGAGAAAGAGCAGAGCAGACCCCAGAGCATTCTGAAGTTTCTCCTGGACACTTCCTTTCTGTGGTTCTCTCTTTCTCTGCTCCCTCTAAAGTCTCTGTGTTTTCCACAATCTTAATACAGGTTATTTGACACACCCCTAGGTGTCTCATTTTAACTCTTAACCATTTTAGGATAGGTTTTTACTCTAGGTGGCCCTGTTAACCTTGGCTCTCAGCCCTCTAGCTCATGTCAACAGAGATGTTACAGGTCTGTGTCAGCAACTGTTTTGACACCAAAGTTCTCTCTCCATAGATGCAACTTATGCGAAAGGACTAAGTGTTTACATACATTGTCATGAATGCATAATCACTTGATAATATGTTACTCATTCTAACTTCTGACTCATATAGCTTCATACAAGTATTTAACATATAGTTATTCTACACAATCATTCGTCAGCATAGCCTTCTCCTAGCGTTGCTCCTGTGCAGGCATACTCATTTTACACAGTATTTTTAACACACGCTGGCATGTTTGCTGCAAACACTACATACATTTTGAGAAGAGAAAATTGACTGCTTTACACTTAGAAAATACTTCACACAGAGAGAATAAAATCTTCTTCAAGATTCAACCAGATGCATTGTAATAAATCAGTGATGTGATTTTGTCAACATATCGTTCAGCCCTACAGTCTCCTATTTTAGGTTAAGTACTCAGACATACCTGCAGACTTAATCCATAGGCTAATACTGAAATTTGAATAACTGTGACATCAATTTTTATAAAACAAAAACTTTTTCACATTTACACTTCTTCTTTTAAACTGGTTTTCAAAAGTGTATGCCCCCCCCCCCCCCCCCCCAAATGCTACCATCTGGTAATGAGCAAAACTGTCTTGTTTGCAGCGATTTCAGGCAGTGCTGTCCCCGAATGGATCGAGTTTATTGCTGTGTGGTTGCCAACCTCCAACGGATTCCTCAACTGTATCTTCTACTTCTGGATCAACCATAGCTTTCGAAAGAAGTTCCACGTGGTTCTTCAGAAACTATGTCTGAAACTCGGGCTTTGTCCAAGTTCTGACACTGATTCATGCTGCGTGAACTCAATCAATTCCTCTGTGATTCCTGGATGGAGCAGTAACTACTCTCTCCACGAGCGGTTTTCTAGCGTGTCGTCCACCTGCACCCTGCTGACGCTCAAACCTCAAACCAGCATACGTGAACCAGACCCAGCTTGAGTATCCTTTTTATTGTTGCGATCTGGAGTTTTAAAAAGATCTGGTTGACGTTGTGAGTGCTACTGAGGCTATACCGATTTATATATCCTTTTAATCTCAAGTTAAGATTCGGAAACACTCATGACCATAACTTCAAACTCTTTTAGTGTAATGGCTATTTGTGCCTTTTTACTTCTTAATGGCACCTTCTCGGCTTTATTGAAGACTTGTTTTTTAACTGAAATGGCTTTGCGTTGCTGTTTCAGGTTAAACACATGAGCCTTTGAACTATTTGCACACATTTCCTTATCTATTCATAAACCCAGTATCAAGCAGCTGTGAAGTTTAACCTTTAAATATACCTCAGTTATGCGGGTTATGCAGATGGGGAAGTAATTAGCCAGGTACGTAATGTAAAGGTCAGATCAAAAATGCCTTTTGGCTTTAACCTTTTCTGTTTCTTGACATTTCCATTGCATCTCTGAAGCAAACATTCTTTTTTATGTTGAACTAAGTAGGCTGTTTGGTCACTGTCTTGAAGAGAGGAGTACTGTATGACCAACATTATTGTATTGTAAATAATAATATTAAACCTATGGGTGGGCTACAGTGAACTGGAGCCAACGATGAATTGAAAAGTTGTCATGCTCCAAGGGTGAACCAGTTTGCCTTTCTTTTCTCTTTTTTTGACTTCTGAAAATAGCTGTAAATCTAAATTTTAAGTTTGTTTTAGCTTAGGCACTTGTTACAGAATGGTTCATTGTCAATTAGGGGACATACATACTGTGGTGGAGGGTTCACATGAAGAGCTGATAATAACCTGGGTGTGTTATGCTGCCAGACATTGTCATTGATTACAGATGTTTTGATGTGTTGTAAATAATTACAAATTTTATATGGTTTATAAAAAGTGTTTATACAAAATGTTAAAACTTCAATATGTAAAATAAAGCGTCAAAGCCTATTTACTATGTAAAGCATCACTGGTTGTTCTGGCTCTGTGATTGATTTGAAACGATTCTGATCTTGCTAAAGGCATGAATCATCTTTTTAATTGGCTGGAGGCACGGCGTTTGTGCTTTTAGATGTTCTTGAGCTTATAGGTGAGGAGATTTATATCAGTTACTGTGTGAAAAGCCACACATGAGCATTCAGCTTGACATGAGGAGTGAGCTGTTCTCCTTTCTGTTTACATATGCTTCATGAAGATGACATTTACAGTGGTTTAGTTTGACAGTATACCTCGGGGACATTGTATGTAAGGCATAAATATAGTGATGGAAAACTGTAGGTCAGAGACAACTCCAATTGGGTGGGACTTAAGCTCCAAGTGGATGTACAAACTTGTAGTTTTTATTTATTTAATATCTTGTACATGACAGAGTCCAATGTTGTGCTTTATGAATGTCTACACCTACCCCAACCCTAAACCCAACATCAGTAACCAGGGGCCTCATGTATCAACGCTGCGTACGCACAAAAACTTTGCGTACGCCAGGTTTCACGCTCAGAATAGCTCACGTTTGGATTTACTAACAATGAACTGAATGTGGGAATGTGCGCAGCTTCACGGCAGCTTTATGGCTGGCATACGCACATTTTTTGTGCGTGTCTGTTTTATTTCCATTGGCGACTCCTAGAGGCAGTTGTGTTAAATTCCTCTCTACAAAGTTTCTGAGCCTTGCAATGGCAGCTGTATGAGACGGGTTCAGCAGGTATATAAGGTTTCCATACCATACAGTTGACCAGCCAAACATTAAAGCACAATTTGCAGCAGTCGCCTGTTTTCGCAATGTAATCTGTGCGATCTACTGCACGCACATTGCTATAAAGACACTATCTGAAGATGAATTTGCATGCATGAATCAGAAACATTTCCATTCAGTAAATGTGCAAATAAAATATGATGCTTATTGATATGAACTTATTGATGATTCCTACTTGTCTTTCTCGTGATAAATAGTGGGCAAAATCTGATATGTAGCGGGGGAAAAAACAAGAAAGAGTTCATCAGATGCTGGATTCGAGCCGAGTTCATGCTCGAACGTATCAATTCATGATCACATGCGTCTTACGAGTAGCGCCACTGAGACTAAGCGTCATGCAACATTTTACAGATATAAACCACACTATTTCTTTTTTTTAATGCACTCAGTGCGATATTCAGACCCAACTGTGTTGACCGCATCAGCTAAACTCTCCCACTTTATTTTTTTCTTTTGTTGTTAATTCCGGAGAACAAACTTGCAAATAACACCGCTTTTCTCCGGTCTACCTCCGAAAGCAGCACCTCCAATTCACATTCTGTTCAAAGTTTCTCTCTTTGGTTGCTTTTGCCATTGCTTTTTCGTTTGGTTTTTCCATTAGCATAGTCATTAGCATATTCATACGGGGGAGGAGGCAGGGAGGGGTTTTGCGCTCATGCATGTTGCGCTCAGTTTCACGTTTATTCAGATGTACAAAAGAATATGCGTGAGATTCGGCGTATGCAGTGTTTCATACATCTGAATTTTTTTGTGCGTACGCAATGTTTTAGTAAGATTTCCACGCAAGTCTTCGTACATGAGGCCCCAGATGTGTTTTATTAACATCTACACCTACCCCAACCCTAAACCCAACCTCAAAGTAACTTGATGCATTTGATTAACGTCTACACCTAACCCAACCCTGAACCCAACCGCAAAGTAACCTGAGGCATTTGATTAACATCTACACCTACCATAACCCTAAACCCAACATCAGGGCCGCCTGCAGGATTTTATTTTAAGGTACGCACAAATCCAGCACCACCCCGCTCCCTTCCGATGGTTGTTATTTCAGTATTCCTACATTAAATAACGAATGCATCAAGTGAAATGGAAACGAATATTGTTTTAGAATTTTGCAAAATTCTGCTCTTTTTTTTTCTTTTTTTTCTCATTTATTTTTGTTATTTTTAATATTTTATTGTCTTCATAATTAAAGCTATTGACAAATTCCTGCTTGACATTTAAGAAAATATTTTGCGTAGCTGCCCAGTATATTTTAAAGATCACAGAGAACAAAAAAACAAAAAAAAAAACACAGAAACGTTACATGGCCCCATAAATGTCCAACTTATATTTAATGAATCGTAAAAAATTGTGAAAATTGCTCATTTTATTTTTATTTTATTTTATTCTTCAAATCGAAGATGACTGTAGTGAGAAAACCCTGGCTCTTTATAGTGGTTAGGAATGGCCTGATTGGTGGATCAAGCATGCTAATGCAGAACCAGCCGTGTTCAATCATAATCACGTGCTCCTCTCGAAATTAGTTTATGAATAAACTTCACTTATTTTTCAGTAAAAACAATACCGACATTCAAGAATCCGTATTTATTTTACTTATTCCTTAATTTGACTTGTTTATTGGTGCATATATAGGCTATAATTCAACTCATACAACAGTACCTTGGACAGCTACAGTGCCACTAAAGCTTTCAAACAAAAGTCAAGAAAGGAAAGAAAGATTTGACTTCCTTTGGTGACGGCCGACATCACAACACGCCGCAACCATCCTTTAGGGATTAAATTACACAACAAGCCATCTGGCTTCAATGAAGTGCAGTTATTTTCTCGTTGTTCAAAGAGTCTGTATGTTTGTGTTTTATGGATATAGGATGTATTGTGGACATCGATGATGTTAAGCGTGTCTTTCGATGCGCAGCAAAGAAAAAAAAAAGTCTTTCAGCAGTGCATGTAGCTGTTTGTTAAGTTCTCTCCCAGATTAGAGCGAGTTTTTGTGCTACTAAATGCAGCGCTGCAGCGATTTGGCACGATAGAAGAAAAGCAGGCAGCTGTAGTGCATACTGTTTAATAATCAATTTAAATTATGTCACAAATAAATAAATAAAAAGCGGCATTAATTCCAGCCCTCTCATGGTAAGTATGCACAGTGCGTACAGCAGTACAGCTGCAGGAGCCACTGCCCAACCTCACAGTAACCTGTTGTGTTTGATTATTGTGTACAACACCTAAACCCGACACTAAACTAAACCTCACAGTAACCTGTTGTGTTTGATTAATGTCTACTACACCTAAACCCGACACTAAACCTAACCTCACAGTAACCTGATGCGTTTGGTTAACATCTACACCTACCCCAACCCTAAACCCAACCTCACAGTAACACACACACACATACACACATAAATACATGTATATGTATAACTTAACCTACCTAAAGTCATATTTTTATACATGTTAACATCTGACTTTTTAAAAAATAGTTATGTGTCTTTATACATTGTATTTAAACTTCTGGCTTCAACTGTATGTTGTATATATTTAACAGGTGCATATGTCTAATAAACAACAACTAGTATCTAACAAACAAATACTAATATCTATTATGATACTAATATCTTGAAAAAGAAGTACTAGTAACATAAAAATAGACACTGGTTTCTTTTGTAGATTAAATGTTAGAACAGCTTTCAATACACGTACACCTAAAATGCTGAACACTTTACTTGGAGATTTAAAGTATTAGGGAAGTCTGCAAGTTCGAATGCAATATAAGTGCCTTATAACTCGAAATGTCATGTTGAATCTTTTTGTCCCTGTATGCAACGTTCAAATCAGTGTATCCAAAAGTAAAGCAACTACTTATAAACACATGTAGTGCCAGTATTGCTCTCACACACATAGGAAACTACAGCAACACCTTAGGGGTCTGTTAAAGTGCTGCTAATGTGGATGCGAGTTTGAAACCCTCCTCGTGCGGTTCAGCTATTAGTTGGCCAGCGATTTTTGTAGCTATTTGTTGTCATGGTGATGCAATTAGGATGAGTGCAGGAGATGGTTTTAGATCACTCTTATGCTCTTTTGGAGACACTCAAAGCTGTCACCTCCTAATCAGAAGAAACAATCAAGGAAATAGTTCCTCATTTACTGTTGATCAGATTCTAACAATATGCGCTGGATACCCACTTCTGTAATAATTTTATACAATACGTTTTGTCGACCCACAGGCTCATTGGAAATATGTGTCTCAGCCAACATTGTTGGAAAATATATATAAAAATATGTGGCTCTGTGTATGTTTTGTTGCAGGTTTCAGATGACAAATCCATTAGAGCAGTGTTTCCCTGTTCCTGGATGCGCACCGACAGTACATATTTTGGATGTCTCCCTTATCTGACCTGTTAACTTCAGGTTTTAGAGTCTCTTTTTATGTTCTGTTGAGTTGATTCATGTGTGTTTTATTAGGAAGAGGTTGAAAATGTGTACTGTTGGTTTGCCTTCAGGAACAGGGTTGGGAAACACCGACTTAGAGTGTGCTTTCTACATTTTTTGTGAATCTGAAATGCATTTTTTTGTTAAATGCATAATTTTTGCACACCACTGACCTAAATCAGTTGCATCCTATTGCATCAGTTGCACCAATTGTTATCATTATCACGTGTTTTCTTTCGCTTACAGTTATTTTTATTATTGTTTAATTATCGTCCTTTACAATAATATTGCTTTAATAGGAGATTAACTCTCCATTTATGTGTAGTTAACTGGTGATCTGGGACCTTCAGCCAGGACAGACTACTGTGC